CCAGGGCTATCCATTGGGTCACCTCCTGAATAGAGCCCTTGATCATGTCTGACAAGAGGAGAACTGGATGGTGGGAAAACAATTTATAGCTTGGAAGTCCAATTCAAAATAGCTGACAATAATAAATGATATATGAAGTCTTTGAAGGGATACAGATACTTACATGCACATGCCTCTATACACTGAACAAATAAAAACTATTTGATCCATAAAGGTCAGCACTATACATGCAATTCCCTTCCTTCCTTGTATCAGTGCCAGGAGACCACTCACTGGATTACTGCTGTTCTTAGGCTTTGAGAGACATTTGATTCCTAAACTCAGTGTTTTTTCAGTCTATGCACTTCTTGTTGTAGCTCAATGCAGTCATGTTCTACACAGACAATAGTAGAGGTGGGCACTTTGGTGCATTTACCTGGTAACAAACTGTATCAGATGCTGCCCCAAAAAGGTTCCTGTTTTAATTTGAAAGCTAAGGCTAACACTGGTAATTGTAGAGACAGGTAAACTCACCTTGTACACTCATGGCTATAATAGGATGCTTAGCATTGGCAAGCCTCTACTTGGGTCACAAATACAACTATTAATTATCCATCCAGCAGAGCCTCAGTAAAAGGCTGTTCCCATGTGCTGTGGAAGAGCAAAAGCAGGAAAAGAACTGATTCCAGAATTAAGTTTAATATAAAAACATAAACTAAGCTTCTAAAGCCTCAAATAAGGATGGGTCTAGGAGAAAAGATTTACTCCAAATTTTATATTTATAAGCTTATCCCTGATATACTACAAAAAAAAAAATGGGCATCAGATACAAAATACTGCTTTACACATTGAGACTCACGACAAGTAATTATTCGTGGCAGTTTCATTATTCTGAGTAGTGAAAAAATTCCTGACATCTTCTCAAGTCCTCTGGTTTACTTGAACTGAAACAAAAAGCTATGGAAGAACTATGAAAATAACCCCATCTGTTCACTCATTCTTGTGATACCCTGTTTATTGTGTGCTCTTTGGATGAGAGCATAAAGCAGGACCTCTGTCTGCTTTCTTCAGTGCTCCCATTAGTGCACTCTAACTCGCTGTGCCAACCCTCACCCTTTCCCATGTGTGCTTGGCCAACCCCTGTTCTCTTGCTCAGGACATGCTGAGAGCTGCCAGGGCTCTTCCACAGGAAGCTGCTTGTGATGCATCCACCTTGATTTACTGATATATTTATATTTAAATTTCATATATATTATGTTTCCATGGTGCTGATTTGTTATCTTCCAAACTTTATCATGTGGGTTCACTGCAAATGAACATCAATGGTGGGGGAGTCAGTGCCAGATACAAGACTTGCATCAGTACTTTATGTTTAATAAAATAAGAGCTCAGGATTTTGCTGTCATTAATGCTCAGTTCTGCACCCCTCCCTTTTCTCTCTTCTTTCTAGTGTGCTCGTCATTGGCCCAGGGTGGGTGGAAGTCCATAGCTCTTGCACCTCAGAGGCATACGACTGATGAGTTTGTGCATATGCTTTGGAAGTGATATAACATTAAAAATGTTCAAATATCATAACATAATAAAAGATTGTAATTATAATAAAAGATTATTTCCAGGTTCTTAAGTACTTGGAAATGACACAATTGATAAGCAGGAAAATTTTTAATGAGAGTCCCATCTTCCTCCATCTGCAGCAAGATGATGGCAAGCAAGATGGGTTTGTCCAAATCTGTAAAAAACAACAACCCAGATCCCAGCAGACCGAATTGTCCTGGTTTGAATTGTGCTTTCCTCTTTAGCTGAAGTAGCAGTGATTGTTATTAAGCCATTCCTCAAAAGGATTTGTTTTGGGTTTTTTTGCCTTCATTCCTTGTATCTTAATATAACTTCATTCAGCTCTTCTGATTAGAGCTATTGTATTCCAGACTTGAGGATGTCAGGAACACAACAGGAATAGCAATGCCCTTGACTTCAACAAGTGAAATCACTGCACTGTCTTTTTCTTGCTAGGCTATTTAAGTTCTGTGCCACACTCCTCTGTGGGCTTTGGATGGGGCATCTCAGGGTTTTCTGCTGTGGCAGATTCTGAAGGGATGCTTGGGCTCTACAGGTTTCTATTTATTGTCATTTCAGAGAGTCTATTAACTTGTTCTGAATGGAACCTCCCTGAGTTAGTAATTTAATCTTTCCTAAGCTATTTTTGCTGTTGGTATATGCTGCCCACACATAGGAAGACACAGTTCTGCCCTAGACAGCTCTCAGTGTAAACTTTAAAGCATTTGAAGAATATATAATAGAAAAGGCACTACTTTAATTACTGGAACACCCAAGAATGCAGCTAGGCTAGAGGAGCAGGCAATGTTCATCGTGTAGGATTAACCTCATTTGTCTGGAGATCAGAATCAAGTGTGCTTTAAAGTCATAAATGAAGAAGAAATGGATGATGATGTTCTTATGATCTCAGCAGGAAAGCACGGCAGTCACACCCCAGGTCGGGTTGTCTCTCTCTTGTTTTTGTGGAGACCAACTCTTCTCTTTTTTCCTATCCCCTCTAAAAATTGCAGGAGATTGTAATTCACACATTAGACTTTCTGATCCCTGGTACGCACTATGGAGGTGCAAAGTATTGCTATAGCAGCATCATTTATCAGCATTAAAATCTCTGACATCTCATTCTCCCAAGGAAGCTACCAGAGAAAGCTGAAAATTGCCCAGTGTGATCTTCTTCTAGTAGCAGGGAATGTAAAAACAATGGGAAGCAGAAGGAAAGTAATGCCTTAACCGCAGCCCTACATTCTCATTTCTGAATCCTGCACGAATCATCTAACAGTTGTCGAGATGTGAAATGCAAGGTGATGAGAGAAAGCTGTGATCAGCATCTGCTGCAGAAGGTATTTGGTTTTTTCCTTATCAAATTCCCAGTCCAGAATTCAAAGCTGTGACTGGATGTGAAGTAACATGGTAACACGATGACACATTTGTGACTATGCTGCGGTGATGGAGGAACTTCACTCTTGCTCCTGCATGATTGGCCAGTTGCGTATTTTAGCTCTTTTCCTTCACAGCAAATACTGGATAATCTCCAGAGCAAGCAACCAGAGACCTGATCCAGCCAGAGAAACAAGAGCATGAAGGGTTCACATCATAGTGTGAGGCTGATATCATGTCAATAACACCAGTATGAGGCTGATATCATAGTATGGGGGTGATAATCATGTTGATAACATGAGTATGAGGCTGATATCATGTTGATATTGTGAGCACAGGGCTGGCTAGGGTCTGAGTACCGAGGGTAATATCTTAGCAATGTTGCAGACAATGCAAATCCTTGAATTTGCTGTTCCATTGTCATGATTCTCTATTGTATAAAAATTCTCTAAAGGAATTTCTCATGGACAAAAGCCTTCTGAAAAGGCCTTTGTTATCTTAGGCACTGGCTTTGTGTAAGGTGCAGTGTGTGTCACCTGATGGCTTGTGTTACATACATCATGCTCTTTCAATCATCAAACAGCTCCTGGAGAAATATTTAGTTCACATGGATGTGTGTTACATACTTCATTTGTAAGGAAGGTGGCACTTAATAACTGTGAAACACCTTTGGTTAGATATTTTGAATTCTTGGTGCACTTACAAACAGGAAAGTCACTTCCATAATGAGAGCCGTGCACACTGCCTGAGGGAATTTTGCAACCGGAGAAAAACAGAATGTGACCCATGAATGTCCTAGGTGGGGAAGGAGTGTTTAAATAGCATGAACAAATGACAGGCTGAATGTAACTTAGACTGTGATTATCTTCCTGCAAGACATATAAAGGGTATTCATTTGTAAAAGGGAGCTACTAAAGGCTACATGACCTGTATCCATTCCTTAGTGTTGACTGGAGAAGCTACTGAGACTCCACCTGGAGTGGAGGAGTGCTCTGTGGGTATATCTGGGATGCTGGCATAGTACCCAGTGGAAAGATACCCATTCTTCTCATATTTCTGTCCTTACTCGTGTTAAAATCTGTGCCTGATCCAGGGGATATCATATACCCTTTCATGGGGATTGGGAAGGGGAGTGGTGCATGCAGAACCTCAGGTTGTGCAGGGATTTGCCAAGTTGTTTGTATCCAGCGGATTTATTTCTTTGGTGTGATGATGCATAAAAGGAACAATTCTTTAGGCTTCACCTCAAATCCTGGTTTCCCTTTAAAGTGCTTTTTCCAGCTACTATGCTTGACCCACTAAAAGACTATTCTTGGGCACTGTAAACACCGGACACTACAGTAGTATTCTACTTTTATTGCCTTATTTAGGGAAGAGATTAAATGTAATGTTCAGATTATGTAGAACATTAACCCCTAACAATAAGCAAATAAGACTTTAGAAGCTTTGCTATTAAAATGCTTAAAGCTGGCTTTGCTGTGGAGCGCTACGGGATCCGTGACTTATGTTCCATGAGGGAGGAGGCACGGCGGAGAAGGCACTCTGCGTTCAGTTCCTTCCTCCGTAAAGATAGTGCCTATAGCTGCCCAGCCCGGATGCTGTGTTTAGCCTCTATAGAATAGTTTTATGTGTAGCTCAAACACCTGAATGCAGCCCTGCCACCATGGCTGACAACCTGGAGGCTTTCGATCAGGTAATGAAGTTCTTGCCTGTCTCCCAGCGAAGAGCATCTCATTCCCGAGCCCGCGAGATGGGGCGGCCGGGCTGGGCCGGCGGAGCCCGGCGTCAGCCTCTGCTCCTGTCAGGAGTTGCAATGTGCGAGTCTTGTCTTTCAGACAGTATTTTTATGGGAGCTGATGGTTGCCAGGGAAACGGAGGCTTCGGGGAGTCTCACGCCGACGCAGCGCCCGGCCCCGGCAAGCGCTGGGAGCAGATGTTGGCTGCGAGGAGCTGCGCTGCTGGCGGCCGCACATGAAGGCGGCTGGAGAGAACCATTTGCCTGGCTGCACCCGCTGCAAGAGAGCAGGGCCAGGGCTCGCGCTCCCTTTCTCCCTTTTTGGGTTGTAATTTAGTATTCTTGTCTCACCCCACAGGGGTTCCTCAGCCGGCGGCTCAAAGGCTCCATCAAAAGGACAAAGAGCCAACCGAAGCTTGATAGGAACAGCAGCTTCCGGCACATTTTACCTGGCTTCAGGAGTGTGGACAATGAAAGGTAAGGGGACGTTTCTTGGAGGGTGGGGAGGAGGGGGTGTGGAAGAGAATGAGGATATTGATTTTTCCAGGTCTTGTTAATATCCTGCTTATCTTATTCTGAGCAAGGGCCACATCTGTGATAGAAGTAGACTTGCTTAATTTCCAAGAGGGGTAGTTTTAATCTGTTGGCGAGTACACGGTGCAAGCCCTGCCTTTTCGGGCTAAATAACATGCACAGAGAAGCCCGGCTGCTCTGCTTTCTTTTCCCCAGTAAATCCTAAGTTGATGCACCAGCATATAAATAGCACATAGATGCAGCAGCCAAAGCCGCCTGCTGCAGGTGAGGGAGGGAGGGGAAGGATGCTCACACACTGGACTACACTGAACATCACATTAGACACTGTGTGAACAATAACGTAGAACAATAGCAACCGTAGTATCCCAAATCCCTCTCTCCCCTTTCCACACGCACACACACGTCTTCAGCACAGCCCTTCACTGCCATCACTACACTGAGATGGATTCTCAGCATGTGGCCGAAGCTGCTTTTTCTGTCTGAGCCATGACAGGATCTTTCAGTCCAGGAGGGATGTGTTGCAGGGAATGTGCAGATGGGTCGAATGAAGCATTTGACATGGGATGGTCAGTGCTGGAGCAAATGCAAGTGATACAAAGGAGAAATGAGACCTTGGTTTTATTCCTCAGCTCAATTAGAAAGTACAGAGGCTCTGTAGTGGATTTGTATCTATTTATGTCCGTGCAGCTTTATGTCACTGTGTGCGTGAGACAGGCACACGTTCTAGGTAAATTTACGTGTAAATTCACATGCAGATCAAGGTCATGGTTGGGTAAGACAGACTCCATTACACAGAAACAAACTAGTGGCTTGCTTTCAACCTTACATGAATCATTTCGGGGAATGACACAGAAGTACTGAAGGGCCAAGAAAAGTGTGTGTCTGTAAAGGATGCCAAATTGGACATAGGCTGATGTAACCATTTGTAGTAGTGGCATTTTCATATATCAAGAGGGTACTCCAGAATCCATTAAGTAAATGTTTCACTTTTAAAAGCAATGACAACTTTTACTTGGTTTAGTTGTACTTATTCACCGGAGGGGCTGTGAATTTCTGAAGCCTGCAAATGACAAGAGTTAATCTGGATTTTTCCTTGCCTGACCTTCTAATCTTTTTCTTTCTGGATTGTGCAGGTAGAAGGACTGTGCTGGTCAGTGCAGAGTAATATTTCAGGGGCTGCTATCTAGGAAGACAAGAGTTGATTTGATTTGTGTGCTGCAGTTTTCACAAATGCTCAAAGTAGGGCACTGTGTTCCGTATGGAAGACAAGCCAGTGGAACCGGGGATGTGCCTCCAGTGCTGCTGCTTCCCTCAAAGGACAGGCACATCAGACAGTGTTGTGTTCTGCCTAGATGAGTTTTGTTTCTTTCTATGCATTGGCAGCATCGAGCATGGGAATTAACTGTTTTGGCCAGCCCTGCAGCCAGAATCATTTTCCCAGATTAAGCCTTGTTATTTCCCTGTCCTCCCAGCACTAGAGCCTGGAGCTTGCTGGGCAGGGTCCTTCAGGAAAAGCCACATTTACTGCAACTTTTCTTTAAAGGGATTCAGTGAATGGCTGTAGAGCATTTCCAGTGTAGAGCTGAAAAGGGTGGGTTAGAGGAGAGGTAGCATTTGGCAGCCTTGAATAAATCCCAAAGATTTGCTTATATCAATATTTAGAAACTGAAAATGAAAGGCAGGTGTCAGTCAGAAATGCTGTATCTGTGATACCTTGACATGCCCTGATGTGGAGGAAACCATCTGACATGTGATGGCTTTTGACAGCAAGATTTAGACCCTTGGCTTTCATAGTAGTGTCAGGTCTGTAATGAAAGCGAGTGTCCTTCTGCAGAAGACCTTGCCCTTAGGTCCTGTTGCTCTCAGAGAGGTGTAAGAAAAGCAGCAGCTGGGCTTCTCAGCCATGCAGAGAGGGTTTGGGTTACAGGAGATAATTTTATCTTCCTGAACATTCCCATCCACGTCTGCTAAAATGCACAATGCGTTCGCTTCTCTATGTGAAAGGGCTGGAGTCCTTTCAGTCTCTCTCCTGCATTTTCTGCTGTGCTTCCTTGTCTTTCCTGAAACCCAAGAACTGTTTCAAGGAAGCATCTGGTATTGGAATATTTGCCTCTTAAATATTTGATTCTTGACTCCATCTTGTATCCAAGCTGACTGATCACAGACCGCTCCTTTGCTCATGGGTATTCCCATTGTAACAGTGCTCTGGTCTGGAGCTGTGTAGGATTTCTGCAGGAGATGCCATAGCAGAAATAAATAGTGCAATAAATGCAGTCAGAACACTCCAGGTTGAAATACTGACCTGCAGCAGATCATAAATGATTCTGTGACTTGGCTTTTGTGCATCTGAATTGGTGCTGTGTCGTGCTTCTTGGTTTCTCTATTTTTCCTTCTCTTACATGTCCTGGTTATCCTGCTATGTACAGCAGATGCGTATGGATAATGTGCATGTACACGTACAGGCAGCTGACTGGGGGAATGGGTAGAGCAGAGAATAGGATATAAAGAAGCAGATCTGTGCTTTTTATCCTGTGTTTGAGTATTGCATGCACTTAAATGCATCATGGAAATTTAAAATGGAAAAGGATTACATCCTACAAGAGTGAGAGATTTATACAGTTGTGAGTTTAATGACAAAGGAAAACAGGGAAATAATGTGAAACATGGGAAAAGTCACGGAACGTTTCGCTGTTGGGAATCACCTTGCTGATTTTGTGCCCATAAGGGCTGGTTTCATACCTTGCCGTGGCACAAAGCGAGCAGCAGGTTTCCAGTGGGGTCTCACAGAGCTGCTCTTCTAAAGTGGGGTTATTGTGTGCTGGGGGGAGCTGACAGCTTGGAAATGGGGGTTCCATCTCAGGTTGATGTACCATCCACCAGTGCTCCCCTGGCCATGGGCAGGCAGATGTTTGCGGTTGTCATGGGCTCTGGGTGTGTGTTCAGAGCAAGTGTGAAACCTGAGAGAATTCCAGGTTTGGAAAACCTTGGATAACTGTTTTTTCTCTATAGAGAACATCTGGGGGATTGCCCAAAGTGGTGTGTTAGAAAAACACACTGATTACATTGAAGCAGAGCTTATGTTTGCAGAAGAAACATGGTTGTTTCTCATGGCATTGGATTTTACAGTGACTGAGAAGAGACCTTTTGTGGACCAAGGGGTTTGCATTAACTTCAGTAAGTGTGGGGTTCATGTGATGTGGTTGGCCAGATTTTGACAGTCTCTTACATCCTAGGAGTCCTGTTACTGTAACAGTGATAAATTTACTGATTGTGAATACAAGAAGTAAAATCAGACCAAGCATAACAAGGATTCTGTGTGAGAGGTGCATTAATCGGGTACAATTGGTTTATGTAAGTGCGAGATTTCCAGGAGGATTGCAGACCAAGGGCTCCTTCCCATTTGTTGGCTGCTTGGATTGCTCATTAAACCTAAAAAGGGTTCAGTAAAAGTGGCCTTTTGCTAACAATGTGTGCTGCGGCCTGATTTATTACCGCAGCTAACCAAGTTTTTATCATGGAGCCGGAATGTTTCTCTTTGTAGCAGCCTCTCTGGAAACAGCCACAAATCAAGCATTTGGCAGATGGATTTTCCTTAATTGGACCCACATTTCTCCTACAAAATTCGTGACGGAGGAAGTTTCTGGGTTGGGCTTTGGACACAGGGAGAACTGAGGGAAGGTTGTTCTGCTGCGGTTGTTCATGATGGTGGTCAGTGTGTTTCTGGTTGTTCTCTTGTTGTAGTGACCTTTTGAGGCCCTGCTGCTGCTTTGTTATAGTAATCTTTTTAAACCTAATTTCTGACAGTTTGTCAGGAATCTAAAGAGTGGGTTTATGTGGGTCTTTTACGGGGTTTGGAATGGTTTTTAAATGGAAATACATGAACTTAGTCCCATCTCCCCTGCAACAGGCAAAGGCTACACTAGCACTGAGAGGACAGCATCACTTCACGGGACAAATACCTTCAGACTGCCTTGATCTGGTGGAAGATGGGTGCTCTGTAGAGCTCTGTGTTCTGATGGGATCCCAGTGTAGATCATTCCTAGGGATGCTATTCCTCAAATTCATTCAGTGCTGAGGGACTCTGTTACTAACATTTGTGATAATTTTGGAGGGTTTTTTCCTATTTCCAGAAGATAACATTCTATTTCAGCTTTTCTTGGCACTACAAAAGGCTGAGCATATGGTTGATTGTTAAATGAGCCTCAGCCTTGGAAAGGGTACAGCCGTGCCATAGTAACAGCAGCGACCTGCGCTCCTGCAACTTCCTCTTCAAACCACTTTGTTTCTTTATCCCATCAAAAATCTCTGCTAAGAATCCACAGAGGGAAGAGAAGTGAACAAGTCATGTCCTGCAGTGCATTTAACTCCTCATCTGGTGCTCCTGCAGGCTGCCTTGTGGGTTTTTAGTGTGCATAAAGCTGATTTTGATGCAATAGGAGAGCATCAATAACTCATGAACGTCTGTGCTCTTGCAGAGTCAACTTAGTGTGTGGGTTCTTTCCAGGTCTCATTATCATTTGTTTATTCCCAGCAAACCTGATATGCCAAGTATTTTTAGGTATGATGAAAGCGGTTAAGTTGATGTGGATATGGTGATGGAGAGCTTGAATTCTCTTCTGCTGCCTTACTCCAATGGCATTAGTAGTGAAACTTTCTAAGTAGGAAGACTTGCAGTAGTAGGTGTGCATGGTGAAGGATGACACTCACAGCATATTCAGTACAGTGCAGTGGCCTCTGCTTTTAATCATAATCAAAATACTGTGAGGAAACACTGCTTAGTTGGTATTGGGAATCCATTCGGCACTGTCAGTGTCGATAACTGAAATGCAGATGAAGCATCTTGCAAGGTCAGGATCAGGAATACCTGGAGGTCATGGTCTCTGCAGGTCTGGTACCATGGGCAGTGTCTGCTCCCACCCTTGGCCATGAGCATCGGTAGCTGA